TCAACCCTTATTTATTTATTTATTTAGGTAGGTAGGTAGGTAGGTACGTAGGTAGGTACGTAGGTAGGTACCAGGAATCAAACTCAGGCCCTTGCACTTGCCAGGGAGGTGCTGTGCTACTGAGCTATATCCCTGGCCCCTCAGCCCATACTTTAAACAGCTTTTTATTACCAAATTTAATTTTTACCTCAAATGACCACATTCTTATAGACAGGATGGCAAACACTGAAATGATTAAAAATATAATGGGATTAACAGAGAAAAATTGTAGATGAAAATTAAACAGGAGAAATAATACTAACATATTTGCATAATAATTAGAACCCTGGTGTGTATAAAACAGTTGTGAAGGCTAGTGATTTCTTCTGTAGTGAAGAAAATTTACCTGCTAAAGGACAGGCAAAATAAAAATAAGTACATTATTCACCATATCTTTATTTACTTTTAAAAAATTAACCCAGATCAATATACACTTAAACAGTACAAATATATGATATTTGATATGTGTCTTGTCAGCATTTTCTATATGCACAATATTCTCACATTTTTCAGTAACGTAATGCATATATTTTTGGCCATGCTGGGGATTGAATTTAAGGTCCTGCCCATGCCTGGCAGCTCCTTTTTTAAAAAACCAAACGTATTTCTAAAGTTTATTTGGATGGAAGGTTGGCAGTGAGTACTGATTCCTCTAAAGTCTTTCTCACAGAAGTGCTCATGGATGTACACAAAGTATATATAAGGCTATTCTATGGGCTATTGTTTGTAATAGTAAAAAAACAAAACCAACATAGCTGTCCATTATTAGGGGCATATAGCACATCCATGCAATGGGATACCCTACAGCTATGAAAAAGAATGATGTAGTTTCACATGCAATGGGATATCCTACAGCTATGAAAAAGAATGATGTATTTCATATATAGACTTTCTTTAAGATCTGTATAGCCAGGTGTAGTGGCTCACGCCTGTAATCCCAGCATTTGGGAGGCTGAGGCGGGTGGATTGCTGCAAGTTTGAGGCCAGCCTGGGCTTTAAAGTGAGTTTAGGGTCTGGGGATTTAGCTCAGCGGCACAGCACCTGCCTGGCAAGCGTGAGGTCGTGAGTTCAATTCCTGGTACCAGAAAAAAAAAATAAAGTGAGTTTAAACCTGAACTGCATAGTGAGACCCTGTTTCAAAAAGATGCCCCCATGCCCAAAAAAAGATCATTAGAGGAAAATAACATCCAAAAATAGTTTCTAGTATTTTACCATTAGTGTTCTTTTTTATTATGAGGGGGAAAGAATACTTGTTCAGTTAATTGTCATGTACCCACACTGGAATAATATGTAACCATTAAAAACAATGTTCTGACATGAAAAGATCTCTCAACATTGATAATTTTTAAAATAATTATGAAATAAGTCATAGAACATTTCTCATCTGATCCCACCTAAAAATTATTTCATTTTTATTTTTAGAAGTGCATGTGTAAAAAGATATCTAACTACTAACAATAGTTGCTTTTAGAGACCCTTGGAGGGAGAAGATTGGGATTGGAAAGGGTCTTTATTGTGTGTCTATACTGTTTGCCTTCTTACAATGAAACTTCATTTGTGTATTATTTCTCTTGTAAAGGAAGGAAGATGTAATATGTACTCACTACAAATATAATAATAGTAGTAATAATAATAATTTTTGAGCTCCTACACTGGGCGGTCAGCAAGCACTGGCCTCATGGAGCACAGGTGCCCAGTCTGCCTCCCTCTCAGTGTCCATCATCTGTTCGGAATACAGCCAGGGGACATGACATATCCACCACAGATGCTCACAAGCCCTGGATGAAGAATAAAGCCTATGCCCACTCCACCCAGAGTAAGAAGGTGACCCAGACTAAGGAGGTAACTCTAACCCCAGAATAGGCGGCCACTAGGCTTAGCATGACCATCACCACAGCAATGAAAATCACAACCTTCCTGTTAGCCCTCAGCAGGACAGCACTGAAACAATTGTTTAAGACCTGGCCCAGGTTGTTAAAGAGGCCACATGGTTTCCATTGCTTTTTCAAAAGTTCATATTTAAGGGGAAAATTTCTGAAGGAAATAGAAATGCCATTGTCAGTGTTTGAAATACAAAATGCAGACCCGGGCTTACCACCCCATGGTGTGGATGCCATGGCCACTGTGTGTCAGGGCCTCAGGCTGCTAGGGCCATGCTCATGTCCCGGTTACCCTGATGTGCATGTGCCCAAAGACTGCAAGAGTGCGGGTGCAGCCAGGAGCCCCAGGTTTTTTGGTTTGAACCATCGCTGGGAAACTTTGACATGACTGACCACACTCCTGCTGTGTTAGGGAGCACAACCATGACAGCTGATCCCATGGATGTAGGAAATTCATGTGGTCCCACTAGTCCTTTAGTCAGTAGATCTAAAAATCCATCAGTGGAAGGTGATGATGATGTTGTATTTATTGAATCTATACAACCTCCTTCAGTTTCTGCTCCAGCAATAGTTGATCAAAGAAACTTGTATTTACATCATCAAAACATGAAAAGCCACAAGGAAATTTTTCGGTAATTCTGCCTTTCTCAAGAGATTCAGCTTCTCAGAAAGGAAATACATGTGAGACAGTTGTTGATGATGAGGACATAGAAACAAATGGAGGGGAGAAAAAAAAATTGTCCAGTTTTACAGAGTGGGGACTTTCTGGAACTAAAAACAATACCAAAGATTTGGATTTCTCCACATCCAGTTGTTCAAGAAGTAAGTGCAGGAATGGGTAATAGTGTTACCACTGCAGAACTATATTACTAATCTTACAGTATTAGAAAAAAGTGTAAGCTCTGAATGCTGGGTGAAATATGAACTTGAATCACACTTTCTAACAGCATTATAGAATGGCAACTTGGAAGATGTCTCTAACAGACTGCAGTCAAGTAATTTTGGTGTTAATGTACAGACATACACCCCATCTTTAACTTCACAGACCAAGACTGGAGTAAGACCTTTTAATCCTGGTAGAATGAGTGTAGCAGGAGATATATTTCAGAATGAAGGATTTACAACTCAGCATAATCCTGATTCTTGGATCTCCCAGTCAGCATCATTTCCCCATAATCAGAAACAGCCAAGGGTGGATTCTCTATTACCAGTGACCTCACTTCCGAAACAGATTTTTCAACTATCTGCCCAACAGCAACCTACTAAACCAGCTAAAGTCACTTGTGCAAACTGCAAAACGCCTTTTTAGAAGGGACAAACAGCTTACCAGCGGAAAGGATCAACTCACCTCTTTTGTTCCACTACTTGCCTTTCTTCCTTCTCATAAACATACTTGAAAGACATGAAATGTAATATGTAAAAAAGAAGGCTACTGTTTTTCCTCCAGTGGAATCTAGCAAATCCTTTCAAGAATTTTCTAATACATCTTTGTCTCTTTATGAAGACAATCAGCATCTTAAAAAGGGAGTTTATATGTATAATCTTGACTTTATATAATGTGTATAATCTTGTATAAATATGTATAATCTTGACTTTATATAATAAACAAACTGACAGACGTTCACCATGAAGTCAGTGTTAATAATGTAACTCACAAGATGTGCAGTAACTATTGCTTTAAAAAGTGCAGGTTGGTCAGTGATAGAAAAATGAACTGCTGTGAACATGTGGAGAGTACATGCCTGATAAATATATGGGAAGCAATATCCTGATTGGAGGTCAGCAGAAGAGGTTCTACTGCCAAAGTTGTGTTAATGAATATAAACAGATGATGGAAATAAAATCAGAAGCATTATCAGCAGCAGAAAAAAGGAAAAGGAGTGTTATAGGAAAAGAAAATGAAAGTAAACTATGTAGATCATTAAATACATGTTTAGAAAAAATAGTGTGTACCAGGAAAAAAAAGAAAAGGCTTTGGAACAAGTTCCAACAGAATGTAACCGAGATAGGTCACCGAACAAACAGAATGTGAAGTTACCTTATTCTGAGTCAGACATAGCTGATGAATTTCAGAAGGAACTGGAAGACAAAAAAAATCAGAAGATTCCTGTAAACCAGTTGTGCTTTCTGCAGATCCAGGTACATGGCCCTAAATTTTGGATATTAAGCAACAGGATTCTCTTCTTGAGAAGGATCCACCTCAAGTAAGAACAAGAAATTTTGACTTTCCAAAAGACAACACTGGGAGGAAGTTTTTAGAAACTTACTTTACACTAATGCTTCTAAGTGGTGAAAAAAAATCACTAGATCCTGGTTACTTTATTCAGTCTCTAAAGATTCTGTGTTTTGCCTATACTGCCAGCTCTTTGGGGAAAGAAAAAATAGACTGAAAAATGAGAATGGGTGCAGGGATTGGCAACATTTGTCATACTTAGTAAACATGAAGAAGATGAGATGCATCTAACAATAGTGTTGTCTTCAAAATTAAAATCTGATTTAAAAAAAAACTGATGAAGCTGCAGAACATGAATTATGTGAAGATAAAAGAAGTGATGGTGTCCTCTTGTGGTATACATGATACACCTGATTTGGTTTCTGTCATTAGTCAAGAAAAGATCTACCCCATGAGTCAACATCCTTCAGTTGTGAGTAGTAGTGAACATACAATAGTTCATTAACAAGAAGTGTAATAGCAGATAAATAGTAAACAATGTTCCTGTTCCGAATGTAAAACTACTTGGATTCCATAGTCATCACAAAGTTTAGTAAAGGCAGTTTTTAATATTCTTAATTTGTCAGTGCTCTCCTTTTTTACAGTTGGTGATGGAGAACTACTATTTAAGAATTTTGATTAATATTCTAGTTACTGTGAATATTCTTTGCCATTCTGTGGTAGCCAGGAGAGAAACAGTCATTGTAATAAAACATTGAGAGGAAAATCCTTCCTGCTTTAAAAATAAGCATTTATTTATTTCAAGTTTTACCCCTATAGATAGTTAATGATCATGGAGCCTAAGCTGAAGCTTCTGAATTTTTTAGAGAAATATTAATCTGTACTATTTGTGGTTTTTTTCCCCTTAGTTTCTGCCACTGCCTTCTACAAAGCACAACCTGTAATTCAGTTCATGTGTGAAGTTCTTGACATTCATAATATTGATGAGCAACCAAGACCTCTGACTGATTCTCATCGGGTAAAATTCACCAAAGAGATAAAAGGTGAGTTAATTAGCATTTAGAACAACTTAACTATAAAATGTATGGATATAATAACTCTTACTGAAATGTTTTTATAATTAAAATTTACTACTGGTAGAAATGTAGATGAATTATAAAGTGTTACATTAAATTCAATTTGGGTAATGTTTAATGAAAGATATGCCAAGTAATGGAATTAGCATCAATAAGTAGTTGATTTTTTCTTTATACTTTCTAGCTGAAAGGACAAGAGTGTCTCATGGGATAATGCTTACTGTTAAAAGTAGAAAACTTATTCCAAAAACATACTATTACTATAGGAGTAGAATCATTCTTTGAATATATTGTAATATAATGACTTTCTTACTTTTCTGAAATGATATTTTTAAATTTTACTCCTTTGAAAATGTAATGTATGGGACTAACCTATTTCATGTATTATTCTAGAGTTATAACTTAGCAATTTGGTAAACATAGAGTTGGCCATTGATTTTTGCCTATTTTACTTAGTACCAAAAATTTGTACAGTGGTGTTGCATCGTATGTACATTCAGCTCACCTAAATTCATATCTCTGTCGTCTCCCAAGAAGAAAAAGAAAAAATAATTTTAATAGTATCCTAAAATTTATATTTTATGTGTGTTATATATGTCCATTTCTAAATACATTTAAATATACAGTACATATGCAGTTTTTTCTCCAAACACACGTGTGCTGTATCATCAATTTAAAGGCTTTTTTTTGTCTTTTTTGAGACAGGGCTCACTACGCAGTTCATGCTGGCCTTGAGCTCACTTTGTAGCCCAGGCTGGTCTCAAACTTAAATTTAAAGGATTATTATTTATTTTTTACTTTTTTGGTACCAACAACCGAACTCAGGACCTTGCGCTTGCTAGGCAGGCACTTATGCCACTGAGCTATATCCCCAGCTAAGGGATTTTTAAAAGATTATGATTATGTACTGTTTTGATTATGTACAATTCTTGCCTTGTTGGTAATTTTAGAACTGAATTTTGATTTAAAATGTGACTCCACTGTATTTAGTTTATTATTTAGGCATGCAAAGAAATAAGATATTCTCTAATCAGTATGAGTATCATATACTATTAGCTCTTTAAATAGCCAAAAATAATTATATTGTTTTTAAGATTTTACCTGTTTGTTGCAGATATCTTTCAGCTTGTTGTTTGAATGAAGTATTCAAGTTTGTTCACTGACCATCTCTCAGTCCCCAAATCAGTTAGAGTAGCTGAATACATCCTGCTTGCTCCAGTAATCATTCATTCTTTGCCATTCTGTGGTAGCCAGAAAAGAAACACTGTAATAAAATATTAAAGGAAAATCCTTCCTGCTTTAAAAAAAAAGCATTTATTTATTTCAAGTAATTTAAGTGCCCAAATAAGAAACTGTTAAATGTAACTGTTTTGCAGTCATACCATTGTCCTTTCATAATCTGTATTAACTGCAGTTAGCATTATCAGGAGGTTACTACATTACCTACCATTTTATATGTGTGATCATCTAAATGCTATGGTTTCCATTGGAGTTGCTGCTTAGTTACCACCTCTGATATCATGAAATCACTTACATTATTTTTTGGTAACTATGCAATCAACTCATATCACCACTCTATCACAGAAAATACAAGATGTACAGAACAAGGATTCAGCTGCTGCCCGGAGAGCATGGACTCGGTCTTAACTTCAACTGCTCAGGGGCCCAAAGAAATGACTGAAAAAATGACTAGAAAGCATTATAAAGTTGATGTTATAGTGAAGGTAAAGCCAAGTTTATAGGTTAAATATTTATTAAAGGCAAAAATTTTGGTTGGATGGAGGGCTTGGGGTGGGGCATGGGACAGAGAACTATCTAGTGCATTTTTAAAATTTTTTACTTCTTTGCTAGCTCCCTAGATTTTGAGGTCTAATTCTGTGATCTTAGATTTTGGGTAGGAAAATCTGAGTTGGATTTAATTGACAGACCAGTGATTTTTATTTCTCCATTCAATGTCAAGAAGACTTAAAAAAAGAGGGCTCTTTAAAGTATATCACGAGGTCCAGGGATATAGCTCAGTGACATAAGCGCCTGCCTGGCAAGCACAAGGTCCTGAGTTCAATTCCCGGTACCAAAAAAAAAATAAAAATAAAGGATATTATGTACTCCTACCACAGTAATTCAAGAGAATGAGAGCTTTGTACTCTGTGCTATCTATTTGGGTTTAGTATTTTAGCTAGTATGAGGAACTTGATAACTGTTACATATTGATACAGACTGCTACAATGAATATATTTTTAGTATATTCATTTTATTCCAGTTGAATCTTTTCCCAAATATCTGGTAATAACTTTGGATTAGTTTTTTTTATCCAAAATTTAGGGTAATTAAACAGCAGAAATATTGGGGAAAGTGTGTGGCAAAAGTACCATATGTATATAAAAATACCAACTTACTTTTGGTAAAAGTTTATTTTGTACGTATATAGAACCTTGTCAGTATTTTATAACAGAGGAGAAACTTGAAAACAAGTTCAGCAAGTAACAAATTTGCTTTAAACATACTGTTGTGTTTCCCCATAAACATATTTTTACATCTTGCTTTACTTCATATTATTGGTACAATATTATTTCCTTTTTATAAGGGTTTCCTTTGTATTGTCTAGTCTCCTTTATAATACAAAGGCATAGTAAATTCTGCAACTGATCTGAAATTTTAGTTTTATACAGGTAAAAAATAGTTCTCACTATTCAATTAGGAGTACTTTTTAAGAAAAACCCGTGCCAGTCTGAACTAAGAATATCCACTTAGCATCTTAATTTGTGCTGTTATATCAGAAGAAAATATCATTTACTGTGAATGAACTTTATGTTTAGTACTACTGTTACTTATTAGATAAGAAAGTAAATTATGCTGTAGGAGGGCTGCTCAACCTTGACACTGTTGACATTGTGGCCTAGATAATTCTTTGTTGGGACAGAGGTAGTGCTGTTCTGTATATTCTGGATATTTAGGAATATCCTTGGCTTATACCCACTAGCTGCCACTAGGCATCCCCCAGGTTGTAACAGTCAAAAAATATCTCGAGGTTAACTTAGTGGTAGAGTATTTGCTTAATGTACACAGCCCTGGGTTCAATCCCCAGTAGAGGCAAAAATTTTTTTTCTCCAGACACATGTTCTCTTGGGAGCAAAATTGCCCCAAGTTGAGAACTACTACACTATAGGAATTACAGACATAAAGAGTAATAACCATAAATTCTGTCTAGGACCTAAAATTGTCCTCCATCTATACCACTGTAGGTTTTGACACTCTGGAGTCCAAGCCAAACTTTATAAATGAGTTGCTTATCTGTGACCAATAGTCACCCTATGTCTGTTTTTTAACTTTTTTCTAGGTAGCTCCAAGACTGACCAATAGAGCAGCCATTAGCCAAAGATAGGTATTTAAATTAATCAAAATTAAGTGAAATTAAAATTTTAGTTTCTCAGGCACATTAACCGCATTTCACATGCTCAATAAAACATTACTAATGATTATCATATTAGCTCATATGTAGAACATTCTGTCATCTCAGAAAGTTCTCTTTAACAGCACTACTTATGAAAACTCATCCCCCTAAAATTCAGCAGATTTAAATCCCATTTCCTCACGTTCTAGAGGTAGTCTGGGATTCTTGAACCCGTAAGGGCCATATAGACTACAGGGTTAATAAAACCATGTGCTAAATTATGTGTATGCGCATTTTTCTCAGAGTTTATTGCTTTCACCAGATTCTCAAAGGGCTTACAAATTCCTGTTTTAGGAATTATTTTTGTTACTTTTGATTTGTAATAATCCATAACTATAAAAGAGCTGTGTCACTATATTATACCTCAATAAAACTTGCTCTGCTTAAGTTAAAGAGGCCTGACATTTTTTTTCTTCCTGCTTTATACATCTTTGAAGGATTTCCTTTTTATGAAATTCTGATTTTTTTCAATTAGTATGTGATAAATGGGCTATTTGAATATCACATACTTTAAAGGTTATAAACTATCTGGAGAATTAGTGCAACTACCCTTTCATTCCTTCTCCCCTCTCCTAGCAGAAATACCTGAATTTATTGTAACAGAGTTTTTATTAATGGAGAACTGTGTCCCTTGCTCTTTGCTAATTTTATGATTGCCTTTTATTATGTGGAGCTTGCTAGAATAAGGAAAAAGTTTGACATTGGGTCTACCATAATTGTAACAGTTATCAGCAATGTTATACGTAAAATTTGTTAATGTCACATTGCTCGTATCACAGATTTTCTGTCTGATCAGAATTGAGTTTTTAAAGTAGTTAACAGGCTTTCTAAATGTGGATATTTTGGAGGTGATAGTTCTGTAACCTACATTTTCTTGTTGGGAACAGGTCTAAAAGTTGAAGTGACTCATTGTGGAACAATGAGACGGAAGTACCGTGTTTGTAATGTAACAAGAAGGCCTGCCAGTCATCAAACGTAAGAAAAGCTGGTGTTTGCCAGAGCAGTGGTGATGTGAGGCACCTTGCTCTGGGTTGAGTGGGTTGGGAGTTAGGCTGGTTCATAGTGGGATAAGAGTTGCTTATGTTTATTTTTTTTCTTTCCAGCTTTCCTTTACAGTTAGAAAATGGCCAAACTGTGGAAAGAACAGTAGCACAGTACTTCAGAGAAAAGTATACACTTCAGCTGAAGTACCCACACCTTCCCTGTCTGCAAGTGGGGCAGGAACAGAAGCATACCTACCTGCCACTAGAAGTAATGTCTTTGTGTTCTTTATGAACATCTTCCTATTCATCATTCTTTGGTGGTCTTTTATGGTCTATAACTCATACTTATTTTAGTATTTGGGTTTTTATATTTTAATTTATTCTCCATTTTAATCAAAAGAAATAACATGCAAAATATTCGTCCATAATCATACCACTGTATATAATCACTATTATATATACCATAATCATTATTAGCATTTTTGTGTCTTTCAGTCTTTTTATCCCATGTACATTTATCCTAGTTGTAATATACTCTAAAAGTAGTTTTGTTCACTGCCTTTTTACATAAGATGTATTTTTAAAAAGAATTCTTAATGAAGTAGGTTTAACATTTTTATTGAGAACTAATAAAATATATATATATATTTTTCTTTTTCTGTTTTTAGGTCTGTAATATTGTGGCAGGGCAACGATGTATCAAAAAGCTAACAGACAATCAGACTTCTACTATGATCAAGGCAACAGCAAGATCTGCACCAGATAGACAAGAGGAAATTAGCAGATTGGTTAGTACTTAACCCTAGAAATGGGAATTTAATGCATAATGGGAGCCAAGCACGGTGGTTTATGCCTATAATCACAGCTACTCAGGAGGTTGAGGCAGGGAGATCAAACGTTTGAGGCTAACCTGGGCAATTTAATGAGACTCTGTCCCAGAATTTTAAAACATAGCACTCGGGAGGCTGAGGCAGGAGGATAACCATGAGTTCAAAGCCAGCCTGAACTATAGAATGAGACTGTCAAAAAACCAAATACATACATGCATACATATGTAGGGCAGGAGATAAAGCACCTCAGTACCACCAAAAAAATTAGGGTGAGCTACTAAAATAAATGTTCTTACTAGTCCATTCCTTACTAACAGTTCATACTGTTAGTATATGAACAAGAATGTTTTTCTGTGACAGGAGCTTGCTGACCTTGAACTTACTTATGTAGCTCAGGCAGATCTCAAATTCACGGCAATCCTCCTACCTCAGCTCCCGAGTACTGGGATTACAGGTGTGCGCTACCATGCCTGGCAGACTGTCAGAATTGAAAGGAAATGGAATAGTCTAATCCAGTTTTGGTTTGTTTAGTTTTTTCTAGGGATTTGGGGATAACTATTATATGAGAAAGGTCAAGTCCTTCTAACTCTTAATTAGACTCAGAGAACAACTTCTGTTAAAAACTAACGGTTTAAGTTGGTGAATTGGAAGCTCTTGCTAAGCGAGAGGTGGGAAAAGAGAAAGCGTCAAGGTGTTATGACTAGATCTACTGAGTCTTAATGCTCTGTCTCAGATTGTTTAGGTCTCATATCAGACTGGCAGCTGTACAGTCTAAATAAAGTCTCATTGTGGGAGTTACCAATGCTGTTTGATAAAAGTGATGGTCCCATTCCACAGTGTTACGTGTACTTAAAATATCATATTGTACACAATAAAAACTACAGTGTCATCTTTTCTTTTAGTCCAGTACTGGGGATTTAACCTAGTACCCCATGTAGGCAAGTCAGGTCCTCTATTACCTGGCTACATCCCCAGGCACCATTTCATTTCTTTTTTTTTTTTTTTTTTTTTTTAATTTTTAGAAACTAATGAAATAGGAAACATTAAAAATAAAGGGGCACTTGGATTTTTTTTTTTTTTTTTTTTTGGCACTTGGATCTTATTTCACTCTTTTGAATACTATTTTGCCTCAGTAGGGAAAAATTATAAAATAATAAGTATTTCCCAAAACAGCTTAGTAACACTTTCAGAAGCAGTGTTAGAAATTACTGAGAAAATATTACAGAACTAACTCTCTCATTTTATACGTGAGTTATCAAGAAAGACCTTTTTTTCTTACAATTTTGTAAAGAATAAATGAAAGTCATTATATTTTAAATTAGAAAAATATAGATGGGTTCTCATCCTGGATTTTTCTCTAATTCTGCCATAATAATGCTTAAAAGTGTTACCAGAACCTTTAAGGGACGTTGACATCTGTATCTATAAAATCTCAATAATTAGCAGTTCTAATACATTGCCATAGCTTAACTATTCAGACTGACAAGACTCTGTAGTTGTTAAAAGAACAAACGAGACTAACATCCCTGAGTTCTAAGTTTTGCTTCTCCGCTTACTGTTAGTATTATCATATTATAGTTGTAACATGTCTTTTGACTTTCCTAAGCTTCAGTTTTATCCTCTGTAAAATGCACATTATAAAAGATCTACATTTATGACCCTAAGATAATTATGAAAATTACTAAGCATTTAGCACCAAGTATATTACCCAGCAAGTCTTCTTAAACAGTAATTGTTATTCTTCATATCTTTACTATAGAACCATAGTAACATACAACAGGAGTACATATATTTAGATTACATGTTTTCTAAATGGATTTTTATTCAGATTTGAACACTGCCTTCTTTTTTGTAATTTTGTTTGACCTTCACCCTGAGAACAAATAAATATTTTGAAAATCAGCTCTTATGTTAGAAGCATGAATGTAAGATAGAACACTGAATAACTTTAAACTCTCTTTGATTGTATGTATAGATACATTATATACAATTTATAAACTATAAGTCAACTCGTACTGGCTTTCTTACCTGTTTCCAGTCTGACCCATTAGATAAATTTTATATGGTAATATGGTACTATTGATCTGAAAATAATGAAGTAAATATGTGTAAATTGTAAAGCAATTAGTTTCGTTATGAAAAAGGTGTTAGAAGCTGGAGCTGTGGTAGAACACTGCCTGCTATGCTCAAAACTCTGAGTTTGAGCCCTCCCATCAAAAGAGGGTAGAACAGAAGAGGAAAAGAAAAGAGGAAAGCAAGCATTGGGAGTTTAATCCAGGGATATAGCCCAGGTGCAGTGCCTGCCTGGCAAGCTCAAAGTCCTGAGTTCAGTTGACAATACCAAAAAAAAAAAAGTGAGGGATTTTAATGTTTCCTTTCAAACTTTACATAAAATTTTATTATTCACCCTAATATGTTCATTTATATATTTTTTTAAATTACAAAGAGGTTCCCAGACTTGCTGCAGTCAGTTCATAACCTATGATCCCTAGGTTAAGACTTTTGGCTCTGTACTTAGGGTGCCATTGAGTAGACCTATTACAAAACATAGTTGACATAGTAAAGGAAAAAAAGAGTCCAAATGAGTAAAGTAAGCTGGGTATGATGGCCCATGCCTGTCATCCCAGCACTTGGGAGGCTGAGGGAGGAGGATCGCTGTGAGTTAGAGGCCAGCCTGAATTGCATAGTGAGATCCTATCTCAAAAAGACAAAAACAAAAAAAAGGAGTAAAGTAGTAGATCTAGAGGAATTTTGAGAGTAACTACCAACTTTCCTGTTATTAGGTAAGAAGTGCAAATTATGAAACAGATCCATTTGTTCAGGAGTTTCAATTTAAAGTTCGGGATGAAATGGCCCATGTAACCGGACGCGTACTTCCAGCACCTATGCTCCAGTATGGAGGACGGGTAAATCCTCTATATAATGTTTTAATCATGTACTTGTAGTTTGAGAGAATGGAGAGGACATCCTCCCTAAGTCTAGAATTTAGGAAGTGTTTTATTGTTCCAACAATGTATTTTCCTATTTCAAGGTGAATGCCTTTGCTTGAGTTCAGAATTTTTTTATGTTAAAAATATACCCAAGTGTGGTGGTCCACACCTGTAATGTCAGCACTCAGGAGACTGAGGCAAGGGTATTGCTGCAAGTTTGAGGCCAGCCTGGGCTATATAATGAGTTCAAGGCCAGCCTGAACTACAGAGTGAGACTCTGTCTCAAAAAACCCCAAAAAAGACCCAAAAAAAGTATAAATGATATTGGCTTTAAACAGCCAATTCTGTGTAGACTATCAGAAATATATCAGTTCAGCAACTTGAAATGCTTATTTTCAGTTCATTAAAATATATTAAGTTTCTGTTATTGCTTTGCCATATTATTTCTTTCTTCTTCCATAGAACCGGACAGTAGCAACACCAAGCCATGGTGTGTGGGACATGCGTGGAAAACAGTTCCACACAGGAGTTGAAATTAAAATGTGGGCCATTGCTTGTTTTGCCACACAGAGGCAGTGCAGAGAAGAAATACTAAAGTAAGGCATATTGTTACTTTGATTTGGAGACCTTTTTGTGCTTAGGTTGGGGGTTATTTGTTTTTGGTGAGTTGTTTGGATGTTTTTTGGTTTGGTTTGGTTTGCTTTTGCTTTTGGTTTTTTGAGATAGGGTCTCACTATATAGTTCAGGCTGACCTGTCTCACTGTGTAGCCCAGGATGGCCTCAAACTCACGGTGATCCTCCTGCCTCAGCCTTGTAAGTGCTGGAATTACAGGCTGTGCTTAGGTTTTAAATTACTCATCTCATGGTCCAAAAACATCGTCTCCACATTGCCACTGAACTTTAAAAAATGTTATCTTGATAGCGTGATGAAAATTTCCAAATTCATTAGTCTTAGTAAAAGTCATGGGTTCATGCTTTTTGATATCCCAGTAAGCCAGTTTATGTGGTGTAACAGCAGCATTATTTTCTTTTTTTTTTTTTTTTTTTTTTTTTTTTTTTTTTTTGGTTTTTTGGTTTTTCTCCGGTACCGGGAACCGAACTCACGACCTTGCGCTTGCCAGGCAGGCGCTTTGCCGCTGAGCTAAATCCCCAGCCCCAGCATTATTTTCTTTTGATGGCTAATAGTAGGTTTAATTCCAGTCTTTGCCACTTCCAGGCTTTATTTCCATGGGTAATTTATTTAATCTCCTTATTCTTCAGATTTTATCTTTGTAAAATAGAGGTGATAGAACCTACCTACCATATAGGTCCCTATTTTTCTGGTGAGGTTCTTGAGTGATTAAACTCATTTCTGCTTCTTTACTTTGCAAAATAGGGCCTTTATCTCTGTCACATTCTCCTTTTCCTCAGATTCTTTCCTCTAACTTATAATTGCTCGACAATTTTCTATTCAAACAAATTTTTTTAATCATCAGCTTTTAATTAGGCATGGCATGCCTGTAATCCCAGCATTCTGGGAAGCTGAGACAAGATTATAAATTCAAGCCATGCTGGGCAGTTTAGCAAAATCGTATAAAATGAAAAGGCCCAGGTTTGTAGCTCAGTGCAAAAGACTTGAGTTCAATCCCCAATACCACCAACAAAACAAAACAAATCAAACTCTGCAGTTTTTATCAGGTACCTGTTATCCCAACTACTGGGGAAGCTGAGTCAATATTATCTCTTGACCCTAAGAGTTAGAGGCCAGATAGGCAACACAGCAAGACTCTGCCCACCTCTCCCCCAACCCCACATGGAAAAAAAGAATAAAATCTGAAGGTTTAATTTTGTTTTGGGTCATTTGTTTGTTTTTTTAAAGAGCTGGGGTCTTGAGCCAAGTATGGTGGCACACATATAATACCAGAGTTCACGAGGTTGAGACAGGAAAATCAAGAGTTCAAGGCCAGCTTGGGCGATATGGTGAGACTTGTCTCAAAATAACAGACACCAATAGACACACACTTACATACACACATATGTGCATGCAGACGGACATACTTACAGTATTCTGGCTTTGAAATGATCATCTTGCTTCAGCCTGTCCAGTAGCTGAGACCACAGGCAGGCACCTCTACACCTGGTTGCAATTTTTATTTTACTTATCCTTCAGGCTTGCAGATTTTCCCTGGCTCTCCTCCCTTGAAAGCTTAGAGCTCTGCCAGCATTAGCTCCTGGAAGATCTCCTGCCTCTTTACACTTAAAATTCAAATGATAGTCTCATCAACCCACCAGTTTTCTTGTACACAGCAGTAAATACAGTTGACTACCTTCTTTATGTCCTTCCCTGTCTTGGCTTCTGGTTCTTTTTTATCCTTTCTTTTTTTGGCTCCTTTTCCTCTTCTTGATCTATTTCTTCTCCTTTGAGACTCCCACACAATCTCAGTAGCTTTTGCTATCACATTTGTTTGAGGAGTTGTGCTGTTGTGAAAGAATACCAGCTCTGCTTGTGACTATCTTTACTTCAAAACATTTAGGCATCTCTGACAAAGAATGACACTCAGAACAAATGGCATTCAGTATCTTTCACTTGCCTCTTACATTCTTTGACTCCATTTTTTAGATATTCTGGATTAAGAAATTAAAGCACTTTATTTCCTCTATTTCTCTGGCCTGTTTTCCTATTTCCAGTCCTATGTAGTTCTTCATGGAAAATGCCTGCTTCATCAGTCTGGCAATATTGGTGCCACATACCTGTAATCCCAGCACTCTAGAGGCTGAGGATCATGAGTTCGAAGCCCACCTGAGCTATATAGCGTGACCCTATCTTAAGAAAATTGAAAATAAAATTTGATAGCTAGAAAATAGCAGGACTAGGATTGAAACTCCCTGTGCTGACTCTAGACCTGAGCACTTAACCAGCATACTCTATTCCTGATAGAGGAATATTCCTAATGCCCCTTTAAACAACAGAATGTCATATAACTGTATGTTTTAGCTTGCAGAACACAGTGAGTCTCTCCCCTTATTTATAGTTTCACTTTGCATAGTTTCGGTAATCAATGGTCAAATGTAATCCAAAAATGTTAGGTGGAAAATTCAAGAAATAATTAAACTTCTAAGTTTTAAGTCATCTGCCATTCTGAATAGTGTGATGGAAATTTGTACTGTCCTACACCACTCCATTACACCCTACCTGGGATTTGAATCATCTTGTCCAGTGTGCCCATGTCATATGTGTTACCCACTTAGCATTATGTTACTAGCTGGATTAATAGATCAGCTGTCATAGTACTTAGTTCAAATAACCGTGGTGAGGTAAATGTGGTAACCACTATACTACAGAAACCACTCTCTAAAATAACTCTTGTTACACTTAATTATCCAAAGTATGAGAATAGTAACGCTGGCAATTTGGGTAGGCCAAAGAGAAAGCTAAATGTTCTCAACTTAATAAAAGAAAAAATTCATTTAAGGTTGGTAAGATCTATGGTAAGAATAATTTTTTTTAATCCATGAAATTGTGAAGAAAAATATATTTGTGCTAGTTTTGCTGCAAAGGCATGAAATTCTAGGTTCAGTACTACCCATGGTTTCAGGCATACAGTAGTCCAGATACTAGCCCACCATTGTCCTTAGTGTCAGTCATCTGGTGACTACTTACATTCTGTATGAGATATACAGATGTCTTGTCTTGTCTTTTCTTTTTCTCTTCTATTTTTTGTACTGAGAATCGATTCAGGACCTCACACTTGCCAGGCAGGTGCTGTGCTGCTGAGCTACATCCCTGGCCATACACAGATTTTTGTTCCATCCTTCATTCTTTCCCCAAACTTTCCTTTACTATTTTGTTTTGATGATTACTTAAAGGTTGGGGGTGAGTTGTTTGTTTTATTTTGGAAATAACTGGGAATTAAACCCATTGTCTCATGCATGCTAAACAAGCCCTCTAGAACTGATCTACATCCTCAGGCCTAGATAAAGCTTTTATATCTAAAGATTTCTCCTTCTAGGGGTTTCACAGACCAGCTGCGTAAAATTTCTAAGGATGCGGGGATGCCGATCCAGGGTCAGCCATGTTTCTGCAAATATGCACAGGGGGCAGACAGCGTAGAGCCCATGTTTCGGCATCTCAAGAATACATATTCTGGCCTACAGCTCATTATTGTCATCCTGCCTGGGAAAACGCCAGTATATGGTAAGGATATCTTAAAACTGCATTTTTCAGTGCTAGGGTGCAGGGGTGGAGGTAGGTCAGTGGTGTGGTCCTTGCCTAGCATTCATAAGGCCTGACTTAAATCCCCAGTACCATAAAAAATACGCCAGAAAGTTCCCATTTTTCCATAAGTGCTTAATACTTATTTTAAGATTATACATCCTAAAACTTTCAAATGCCAAAATACATTTTATATTATATTATATTATTTAAAACCATTTAGTGTTTTGTTTTATTTAAAACCATCTTAGTGTTATGTTTTGATTTTGTTTTTTGAAACAAGGTCTCACTCTGTAGTTCAGGCTGGGCTTGAACTCACTGTGTAATTCAGGCTGCCCTCCAACTCACCAAGATCCACCTGCCTCAACCTCCCAAGTGCTGGGATTACAGGCATATGCCACCACACCCAGCTCTTAGTTTTAAACTAGTAAACTAAGCAGTTCAGGAAGAGACCCTGAAAAAAATTTTTGGTAGCTGAAGTGGGCATGGTGACATACATCAGTAGTGCTAGATACTTGAGAGACTGAGGGAAGAGAATCACTTGAGCTCATGAGTTTGAGACCAACCTGGACAACATAGTAAGATCTTCTCAGAAAAAGGCTCTGAAATTAGACTGAGTTATGAAATATTCAGGTTATTGCCAATTATACTGTCTGTGATGTGGCTGAATTTCTTAATTGTGCTAAACTTTTATTTCAGCACCTATGAAATTAGAATATCTAACCCTTATATATGATTATAAACAAAATACAGTGGTACCTTGGTTCACAGACTTGATTGTTTCCATGGTTCTCGTCACAAACTGAGTTGGACAAGAACAGAGTCAAATTCACTGGTGTTAGGTTCATTGTTGACCTTACGGGGAAATTTGATTCAGTTCTCATCCAGTTCAGTTTGTGACTAGAACTGTGAAGAAAATTCAGTTCATCAACTGAGGTACCATTGTAAAGTTTTATGAGATTAATAAGTTAAATAGCAATCACTGAATCATGAAAAACATGAAGAAAATCTAATTTTCAAATTACTGGAGTAAAACCATTTAATTTTAGAAAGGATAGAAGAAATCATAAAGGAAAATTGTTAATTTGACTATGAAACTTAGATTTTTGTGTCACAAATGCACTAAAATTAAAATAATAGAATGTGAAAATATAAGTGGAAACAATAAACACGAGTTAAAATGTTCATATAGACTGGTTCAACAAAAGAAAAATACTCTCTTCATAATAATGAGAAAAGATTATAAACCAAAATTTCTCAAGAAAAGCAAAATAATACATGAAAAAATGCCCACTTTCTCCAGTAGTTAAAACAAAGTACAAATCAATAAAAAAACATTTAATGCTACTAAATTCGCAAATACATGTAAATTTTATAATGCCTAGTATTCATAGCATCATTTGAAAACCTGAAACAACCTAAAAATATGTCAGTGTATGTCTGATTTAGATATATTGTGGCACTAGAAAGCAAAATAACTGCTGGTGTTATAAATAAGAACAGTATATGTATTGAAATTGAGAACCATACTAAGTGAAAATGACAAGTTGCAAAACAGAATGTATAGTATGCTCTGTTTTAATTTTAAAATGTTTTCCAATGTGTTTTTTATATGTAAGAAGTTATGTATGCTAGAATCTTTATGGCAAAGAGTTAGACTTAGATTTCCTTTATGGAAGAGGAAAAGAATAGGAGCCTCTTATTATTTACACTATAATGCCTCTGCTACTTTTATTTATTTTTTTCAGTATTGGGTATTGAATCCAGGGCCTTCACACTGAGCTATGTCTTCAGTCCTTTTTTTATTTTGAGACAGGGTCTCACAAGTTGCCCAAGCTGAGCTTGAGCTTATGATCCTCTTCCTTCAGCCTTTCAAAGTTCTGGTATTACTGATGCGCCACATGCCTGGTGACCTGCATTGTTGAAATAAGGGCTAGAGAACATGAGTGAAAGTAATAGTAACAGTATGACTACAGTATAAGTGCATTGAAATAACATAAATGAGCCAGGCACATTGGTATAAACCTGGGCAACTTAACAAGATCCTTCCTCAGAATAACATAGCTCAGTGCTAAAATGCCTCCCTAACATGCATGAGGCCCTGGGTTCACTCTGTAGTGCCAAATGTAGAAAATTACTGGAAAAGAGCACAATAAAATTAAAACAAAATATTATATATGTATTTTTATAGTTTTTTCAGTTATTGTGATTATACTGTTTTTATGTTGGTGAAGGTTGAAAAAATTATTGCCAAATACTTAAGCTAATTTTCAAAGCAGTGTACTTTAAATTTCAATAGCATTCCTTTAGTATTGGTATAATTTTGGGTGTCTTGTAATACAGTGATGTGTTTCAAGAGACATACAGAAGACCTTTATTTCTAGTAAGCAAATTTACTTTCAGCTCTTTTTTTCTGACTAGAGGTATTTGCATTTGTTCTTTAGCAGAGGTAAAACGTGTAGGAGATACACTTTTGGGTATGGCTACCCAGTGTGTTCAAGTCAAGAATGTAATAAAAACATCTCCTCAAACTCTCTCAAATTTGTGCCTAAAGATAAATGTTAAACTCGGAGGGATCAATAATATTCTTGTACCTCATCAAAGGTAAGCTATTCACTTATGAAAATAGTCATTACTTCTTATATCTTCATTTTTGTCCCTGTGACTGTCTTTAACTACTGTAAGACCTGTGTTAGAGCTGGACGTGATGGCACACATCTACAGTCCCAGCACTCGAGGGGCTGAGGCAGGAGGACCGCCATGAGTTCAAGGCCAGCCTGAACTACATAGCCAGATTTCTTCTTTTTTTTTCTTTTTTCTTTTTTTTTTTTTTTTTTGAGAAAGGGTCTTGCTATATACATATATGACTGAAATTTATACTTTTGGCCAGGAGATGGAGAATAGTAGACTCCCACAGTACCTTTCAATTAAAGTTGAATGATCCTTTTTCTCTGTAGGAAATTACATAGGCACAAAACGTAAGTACATTTTTAAAAATAGATGGATTAGGACTGTGGATGTAGTTTAGGGGTAGAACACTTGGCTAGCATGCATGAAGCCCTGGATTGAGTCCCCAGCACCATACACATAAGGAAAGTGGATGAATGTAAGGCGGTTTTTATCATTTTGATGCTGTTATAGGGAACACTAGCAGCAGTTGTCCCTTGCAACCCCTAGCACCACTCTTAGTACAAAAAAAGAACTGCTTCAGCAAGACAATGGACAGACCTGTTGTGACAGCTCTTACTTTACTGACTGATTGAAGAGGATAAAACAGTAGTATAGGCTTATGAAGCTGTCTGTAGAGGACTCCCTTTGTTCTATCAGTGACTTGGAGTTGTGTTGTAATCGTGTGAAACAGATAAATGGATGATCTAACCCTTTTTAACATGTGTTTAAGGCCTTCTGTGTTCCAGCAACCAGTGATATTTTTGGGAGCAGATGTCACTCATCCTCCTGCTGGTGATGGAAAGAAGCCTTCTATCGCTGCTGTGAGTGTCATTAAGCAGTTTTATGTAAAGTTTAGACCAGTGTCAATATTTTAGTTTCAACTTTTTAAATTTTAATGATTTTTTTTTAACAGTCAACTTTCATAAATGTTCTTTAGGCTTTTTAAAAAAGCAGTCATTCTGGTTTTGAGGATTCAAGTTCCGTATATGTCTATTAAATCAAGTTTATTCATTACATTATTTAAATTTCCAAAATACAGTTTATTGATTATGTTATTCAAACCTCTAATATCCTACATTTTCTACTTGAACTATGATTTATGATGTACATTGTCAGTTATATTTGGGGATTGTACATGTTTGATATGAGATACAAAAGAACTTGTTAATATATTTTAATATTGTCGGGCTGTCAGCACACAAGCGCCTGCCTGGCAAGCACAAGGTACTGAATTTGACTCCCGGTAAAAAAATTTATTTATATTTTAATATTGACTTTGTTACAGTAAGATATATATATAGATGTATATCTATAGATACATAGTTTGGTAGATTACATTTTTTTAGTATAAAATACTTTCCACCTTTACCCAATACTTTGTACTAGTATTATTGGTTGTAACACTACCAACCTCTGCTTTTAACTTCTGCCTTTTGTATCTTTGCCCACCTCTGCGATTTCAACCCTGCTATGTCAGTATTACTATATTTCCTTTACACTTCAGAAAGCCCAGTACTATTTTACCATATTGAGAATCACTTGATTTTAACAAATGCAACCACTTTGAAATGTCAGCATATTTTAGGCATATGTGATAAATTTCAGAAATTAAATTGTAAAACTTTGTATATATTTTTCCATCATCTATGGTAATAATCTTTATGGGGCCGGGGATTTAGCTGAGCAGCACAGCGCCTGTCTGGCAAGTGTTAGGTCATGAGTTCAATTCCCAGTACCAAAAAAAAGAGACCGTAATAATCTTTTATCTATGTTTAAAATTTTAACAGTATAATAAATCTTATTTGTCTTTGAAAATGGTAATAATATTAAAGCTTCTAAAGAGTCCAAAGCTTTTTTTTTTTTAATATCATTAGGAATTGGGATTAAGCAACATCCCTAGTCCTTTTTTTTTTCTTTTTTGTTTTTTTGAGACAGGGTCTCACTATGTGTGCAGTTCAGGCTTGCCTTGAGCTCACTTTGTAACCCAGGCTGGTCTCGAACTTGCAATGATCCTCCTGCCTCAGCCTCCCCAAGTGCTGGGATTAGACGTGTGCACCACCACGCCCAGCTTTTTTTTTTCCTTGTTGTTTTTGTTTTCATTTTTTGAGACAGAGTCTTGCTGTTTACTAAGCTTCCCAGGCTGGGCTCAAACTTGCAATCCCTGCCTCAGGCTCCCAGAATGCTGGGATTATAGTTATGCGTCACCATGCCAGCCAAAGCTATTTTTATTAGTGAAAAGAATTTATTTTAACTTCTAATAACTGTATCAATTTGTATTTTTAATCTTATCTGTAACATTTTATTTTAAATAGAATAAGCTGGGTGTGGTGGCACACACCTGTAATCCCAGCACTCAGGAGGCTGAGGCAGGAGGAGCATTGCAAGTTCAAGACCAGCCTGGACTACAAAGTGAGCTCAAGGCCAGCCTGAACTGCATAGCAAGACTCTGTCTCAAAAAGACAAAAAAGAAAAGATAATGTATATTTTAAATAAAATAGAAATTTTAGACATAAGCAGCCATTGATATTTTCCTACTAATCTATCCATAACTCTGTAATGTTTGTATTGTTCCTATCCTATTTAATAAATGGATGCATGTTTATTATTATGTGTTTCCTACAACAACCATTGAGAATAGTTAATGATTATTCAATAGGTCACTCATG